CGACGGCGTGCTCTCAGCGTACTCGGATGCGTCGTTCGCCTCCGACGTTGACACGCGACGTTCCCGCACGGGCTTCGTCGTCTTCTGTTCCACGGGCCCCGTGTCCTGGAACTCCAAGCTGCAGGCCACCGTAGCCACAGCCTCCGCCGACGCGGAGTACATGGCTCTCGCAGCCACCGCACAGGAACTCATGTTCCTTCGCCAACTCCAGGAGGAGCTCACCGGCGCCGTCCTGTGCGAGCCCACGCTCGTCCACACGGACAACCAGCCGGCGCAGCGCGTTGCCGAACACGCCGCCTCGCGCATGCGGCACATCCTCGTCAAGTACCACTACATCCGCGAGTGCGTCGACACCAAGAGGATTGTGCTGAGCTACCTCGCCACGGAGCACATGATCGCAGATCTCCTCACGAAGATCCTCCCTCGGCCCAAGACGGCTCAGTTCTGCACGATGCTGTTCGACCAGCGTCCTCTGCCAGGCTGCCAGCCACGGGCCCGTCCTCATTCGGGCCGGTCGCCACGTCCTTCGACTCCGCGTCAGGACCTCTGAGTGGCCGCGCACCACAGGACACGCCTTCACTCGGGCCAGCCTTCCACAACAGGCTGCGCACCACAGGCACCAACCATTTTCATAAAACGTGTTCCACAACACACGTCCTTACTCACATCTCACCTACATCCGCCCATGCCATTCCTACATGCATGACATCATCCACATGCTCATCACGTTTCAGAACATCAACGCAACAGAGAGGTAGGTCAATGCGGGGGAGTGTTGACAGGCAAGTCCTGTCTGCTGAGTCATCATTGACCTCCCTTCTTCACGACACCACAAATTTGCATTCACCTCTCTTGTGTTCTGGAATGTTCACGTGATTTCCCTCCAACCTGTTGCACGTGCAGTGTTTAGCTTGTGTGGTTGCTCGATGTTACATGCTTTTGCATAACACACCACATAACCACACAACTCTCAACAAACACTGCCACGTCACCACTTTGCGTCGTCGACAATTCTTGTCTTCTGCTCTGTTTCTTTCTGTTGGAGTGTTCATTCATCGTACATCCTTGTTTGCTTCACAACTCAAGTAAACACACACAACTCTCTCTTGTCAAGACAATCTCCCACACAACACACAGCACACACAGCACACTCTGCACACACACACATACACAAGTCTCCAACAACAGCACCACCACCATGAACTTACAACAGCGAGCACTTCCAGTCCACTGGAGTGTCTGCCATATGCTCCCGTGTATGTGTCCCTCACCTGCAAACTGCGGGCCAAGCGCTCCAAGTGGGCAAGCGATCTGAAGCGGAATAACCTTTCAAACGTTCTTCGGTCAAACTGAGACAAATTGATCAGAGTCACCACACCCCATGCTCTCGGAACACGGTGATAGCGCACTTATCTCTCAAACGAGATAAGAACATGTTGACTGATAGCTCCACACAGCACAGCTTGGCGCAAGCGCTTGCGCCGCCTTTGCACACTCATCATCGTCGTGGCCGTTTGGTTTTTGGCGGCATCCGTGTTTCAAAACATGTCAGTCGTGTTGTGTTTGTGCCAAGTTTGTGTGGTTTGGACATGCGATGTAAACTGCTACGAGTTTGCAATGTGCTATTTTTGTGGTGACGAAAGGTCTCTGTTGTCTGCTACCTCCACCACACCTCCATTGCTATCCCTGTGCTCACCTCCTTCATTACTGGTGCGTATCAGCACCCATGAAGCGAGGTGGAGTCGGGCCCTGGGTTTGTTGTCGCGACCAGAGTGTACTGGAGTGTTCTCCCGTTTAATCTTGCTTCTCGCATGAGGGTCGCACACATTTCTGCGGATCTGTTGGTGGTCTCTGTCTGCGTATTTGTGGAGTGGCGTTGATCGTGACCGTTGTTGGCGTCAATATGCTGTTGTGTCAAATGTCATGGCTTCACGGCACCGACGCAGGTCACATGATTGTATATTTCTATGACAGTGGACTATTTTTAAAGACAAAGGACAGTACAGGCAAAACACGCCACCAGAAAAGCAAAACGCTGTGGCAACATCATGGACCTGCGGACAGTGCGAACCAGCTTCGTCGATGCTGTGCTTGTGGCGTTGTTGTTGGTGGTGCTTGCAGGCATTAGCCAACCCCGTCTCTGCGTTCAAGGTAAGGAGGAAGTGATGAAGTTCAAGCAGAAGAGGAGGGTCGTGACCGATACGTGTTTCGTTTTGACTGGGCTTCACGCGTTTTGATCGCTCCATGTCTGCGAAGACTTAGAAGACTTGTCTTCGTCGTCGGGAGACACCCTGTTGACCTTCTCAGATTCGTGCCCTTGGAACTTCTCTCATTGTCTCACTCCGTGAGTTGCTTGTTCGAAATGCTTCTCCTTTTGTTTCGTTCCGTTACTCAACAGCGGGCAGAGTGTCCGTCCTTGTTAAGGGCGGGAAAGTCAAAGACAGTGACGGCTGGCCACGTGGGGAAAGCGACACCGTGGTGGAAGTGAGGGTGCCTGATTACACAGGGTGGATGCACACAACTGAAGATGAGGACGACAACTCTCCTGCATGGCATGAGACGCTTGAGTTCCCCAACACGGACATCCCATCAACGGTGAGTTGGCATTCTCTGCTTGCGGTTGTTCTTCATTCAGTCTATTCGCCTTTCGCTTCACGCTTTTGCTCATCCTGAGCATCTCATTCCTGTATGCAGTTCTCGGTGGAGCTTCACGCTTTCGATCTGGATGGCTTTGCGGGTGTCAACCATTGGGGCGACACGGATGATGTGAGTTCGGTGTCCGATGTAGTTGTGTTCCTACTTTCTTGATTCCAGCACATGACTTACAACTCTACATGTTGCATCTATCACACCCGCCACGAGTACGAACAAACATACCATGTTCACGCCCGGTCTCTCGTGCCTCTCTGTTGCTCTGTTCTGTTTCAACCAAATCAGCTTGGCCGTGACACGGACAGCTTCACGTTCGATGGATGCAACTCAGTTTCCCGCGACCACCGCTTTGACCTCGACGGTGACAACAAGTACATCGACGTCACCATCAACTACACACCAAGTACGCCCCACTGGCTTCTGTGGTTGTGCGACTCTATGTGCGTGTGTGTGTGTGTTTGTATGTGCATGTGTGTGCGTGCTTATGTGTGTGTGCTTGTTCATATGTGCATGCGTGCGTGTGCGATCACGATTCTCTCCATCTTGTTGTGTCCACTTACAACACACACACACACACACACACACACACACACACACACACACACAACCGGTCTCTTGTTTGGCTCGATCTCCTCGCCCAAACAGCCGACCTGTGCCTGAGCAACAACGGTGACTGCGGCCCAGCACGATCGACCTCGTGCACGTGTGTGCGCGATGAACAAGTGCAATGCCAGTGTATGGATGGATTCAAGTCTGACACGGGAAAGGACTGCTTTCCCATCGACCCCTGCCAAACGTCAACCTTTGGTGGATGCGACAAGCAGCACGGAGTGTGAGTGACTGTGTGTTCGGTTGCCCAATTGTGCATTGCTTCTTGACGCATCTTCTTGCGCGCAGACGTATGTGTACACGTGTGTGCATCTGACTGAGTGCGCTTTTGCCCTTTGTCTCTCATTCACATACACATGCACGCACACATAACCACACACACACACACATAAAAACACACACACACACATCCGCACTCACACAAACGCCCACTTGTCCCTACCCTCACGGCTGCAGGTGCACGTATCTTGGCCCTGGCGAGAGCAAGTGCGCGTGCAAGGGCGGGTACCGGTTTGCGAGCACGAGTGACCATTCGAACTGCGACCCAATCAACCCCTGCGAGGATGTTCCGGGCCGTTGTGGCGAAAACTCCCTCTGCGTGTATGATGGTCCAGACAAGTTTCACTGCACGTGTGTTGAGGGTTACGAGTCTGCCAACGCCGAGAAAACGGACTGCCGGCCCATCAACCCGTGCGAGAAGGAGGGCTACGGCGGCTGTGATGCAAACACGCAGCTGTGTCGCTTCATGGGTCCTAACACGAACGAGTGCGATTGCAAGCCCGGGTTTGACGGAGCGGACGGCGGCAGCTGCGATGTTGTCAACCCGTGCGAGGACACGCCCACGCTTTGCGGCGACAACTCCACGTGCATCTACACAGGACGTGTGTTGATCTGTGTGTTTGTGTGCGTGTGTGCGTGTGTGCGGTGTGCGTGTGTGTGCGTGTGTGTGCGTGTGTGTGTGTGCGTGTGTGTGTGCGTGTTCGTGCGTGTACGCAGGCTCGTGCATGGCTGTTTTCGTTTACACATGCTCAACCCCAAAGCCCAACCGCACTGCACTTCACTTCGCTGCCC